CGACATCTGAGCACAAGCCAAAAAGGGTCCCGACGACGGGCGCGGTCACAACGACGGCAATGGCGAAAAGCGTCATCGGAAGTAAGAGGCGGAGGAGCGGAACCTTGGACGGGGACGACTCCGCCGGCGCCGACTCGTTCCTTCTGCGAGGGGGCACGGGCGGCGGCGGGGGGACGTCGTCGGGGAGGCGGCCCAAGGAGACCGCGGACGACACCGAGGACGACCCTGAAAGGGCAAAACGGGACGCCGCGACTTCAGCGCCGGCGACGCGAGATGCGGCTCCCGGGAAACACGAGCAGCGAAGACGAGGACGACGGTTCCGGCGCCCGCGACGGCATCGCGCTCGCCAACGGAAGCGTCAACCCGGAAAGAGGCGGAGGCCGGGCGAACTGACGGTCGCTACGGAAACCGGAAGCGGCGGCGGTCGGGGGCAATACTAACGTGGGCCGCGAGGCGGCCAGATCGGGCCGAAGACGGCGTTGCCGGCTGGGGGGGGGGGGGGGGGACAAAAAACCAAAAAAAAAGCCGCGTGAGGACGAGCGGGCATATCCGCGCTTGGGCTAAGCGAACTTACTGGAGTGGGCGGGGCTGCCGGGCGCCCGCGGCGAATCGAAACTGTAACTGATCTTGCGCGGCTCGTTCTGCAGCGGCGTCGGGTGGCACGCGGCGCCGGGACGCGGCGCCGACGTGGGACGGATGCCCGGAGACTTCAGGGGACACGTGTACCTCTTGGCCTTAAAGGTCGCAATGTCAACAACGCGCAGGCACGCACTCTTAACCCCCGCGCACGTTGCGCTTTTTTTTCTACTCACAAAGCGCGGCAGCGTGCGGGCGTTGCGAGGCTCGATGAGCAGGGACCTGTTGAACAGACGATCGCCAAAGTCGTTCTCGCACAGCTCCTCCGTCGGGTTGAGGCTCTCGAAGAACTTCTGCGAGACACGCGCGGCGGCAGCGGCGGCGGCGGGTCAGCCGCCGCCTCCGCCCCCGCCCCGAACGGGAAGCGTCGCCGGCCGAGGCCCACCCTGATGTCGCTCTCCGCCCGCAGGCAGTACGGCTGGTTCTGGTACTGCTGGATCTCACCCGTGATCTCCGCCACTTTCCTGCGCTTGCTGAAGTTGATCAAAGCTTTGCCGCGGCGCAGCAGGAAGTCCGGATTGCCCTCCTCCGTCTTCAGGATGTTGGTCAGGTAGATGCCTGCGCGCCCCCCCCCCCCACACACACACACACACGTGTTAAGGGGGGTCTTTAAAAAATCAATAATTTAAAATCGTTCCAATCATTATTAGAATATCAAAATAAAAAAAAAATATCGAAAGAAAATAATCGACAAATAAAGGATATCTTAATCTTAACAGCCCAAGCCCCCCCCCAACACACACATTCACAAATTGGCTCGTACCAAAGAAGGGGATGCAGGGGGGGTTGATGGAGCGCAGTTTGGCTAAATATTTCTTGTAGTGGTCTTCACTCAGCTTGTGAGCTTCTTCGAGAATCTTCCTCTGGCGACTCGGAATTTGCTGAAGGAAAAAAAAAAAACAAAATATATTTTTTTT